CTTTTTATTGAATTTAAGAATAAAAAAATTTCACTTAGGGATAGCAAAAATGTAACTACATGAGATCTATTCGCAGTTGGGTGTTATTACAATAGTTTATTCTCAATTAACCCTTCTTATAATTATGACCACCTTACTAATCCTCTTCTTTGACCAATTTTACCAAGAAAACCCCCCTAAATTCTTGGTTCTCATGCGTCCATTGGGCTTCAAGATATCCTTGGTCCATCCTCACCAACTCTTCAACTCAAGTAAGTTAAAAGGAGAATAACAAAAATGTTACTTTGTTTTATTATTCTCTACTCTTTATGTGGTAGGCCAAAAGGAGATCTCATCCAATAAATGCAGGAAGCATCTTGTGAGTGATAGAGCACAAATTTAGCCGCAATTCGCTATGCTTTATCTATTATATATAAGTGTCATTCATAAAATTGATCTGTGATTTATAGATGAAATCAAGAGTTAAAAACACATGAGACAATGGCATTATTATTCATTTAGACAACTCATGTGCCTAATCAAGTACTAGTCAATGGGGTTTAAAAAGAGAGCGGCATCTGTTGTAAAATTTATCATCGGTTTCAGATAACGGAAAACAATATCCAAATTAAAATATTTTCTTATAATATCAGAGAATAATTTTATATAATACTTACCTGTACCTGACTTTAGAAGAGGATCGCTAGACACAACCAAATAGATGCTTATCCATGATCTTTGTATACAAATATCCAAAACCAGATAACGGGTGAAATAGTACATAATTCATGAATTGGTTGGAATAAATCAAGTAACTACAAAGTTATCTTCTTCTGCAATTAAATGATGAAATCGTATACATTGCATTTATGAATCAGAAAAATTTACCTAAATCCCAGAGTTTCAGCCACCTCTCCTTTTATATATCGAAACAAGAAAAAGAAATCAATGTGCACTGTATATGTTAGATTAAGTCTATTGGGTATTGGGTTAATGGGCTGTGACCCGTTAACCATACCCCTATTTGTATGACTATATATATCTCTCTAGTATCTGAATAAATCAATTAAGTTAGGGTTTTTGCTCTCTCAATTATCTCTTTCTACATGGTATCAGAGCTTGAAACCCTAGCCGCCACAAATCCTCATTCAAAAACCCTAGCCGCCGCCGCCTCTTCTCCTTGCCGCCGGCACTACCGCCACCACTAGCCGTGCCGCTACAGTACCGCCGCCGCTACAGTACCGCGCTGCTACAGTACCGTGCCGTTTGTTTTGTCCCTTTTTTTTCCCATGGCCTTGAATAGGTGATTCGAGGCCACACATGACCCGATCCGGTCATCTACTCCTATTTTTTGATCTGCTCTTAGTCTATGTTTAAAGAACAGATCTCTACTACTGCCCTGATTATTTGACTACTACCTGCCTACCACTATTGTGCAACAATGTCGGAAACAGATTTCTCCTCCTCTTCTACATCTCCCTCTGCTGCTGCTGGTCAGAATTCTGCGCCCAAGGTAGTCTTGGGGACTACAATAAAATTGAATGGTACAAACTATCTGCTCTGGGCTCAGGCTTTCCGCATCTTCATTGGCGCTCAGAGCAAACTTCCACATCTTCTGGCCTCTCCTCCACCCACCACAGATCCCACCTACAGTTCCTGGCTCTCGTCTGATTATTGTGTTATGACGTGGCTCCTCAACAGCACGGAACCACAGATTAGTAGCAGTGTTATGTTCTTAACCACTGCGAAGGAGATGTGGGACAGCCTGAAGATTATGTACGGAAATGAGAAGAATACTTCCCATGTATTTGAGATTTAAGAGCGATTGTTTACGCTCAAACAGGGAGATAGGTCAGTTCCAGAGTTCTTTGGTGAGTTAAAGGAACTGATAGACGAACTGGAGATGCATCAGCCTGCAGTAGCTGATGCGGCGACGCTGTTGGGATATCGCCGTGACTTGGCAGTGTCCAAGTTTCTTTCTGGATTGCACCCTAACTTGCAGTCCCAGGTGAGAGGACAGATATTGGGTGGAGATACCATCCCCTCACTGACTGCTACATTCTCCAGAGTCATGCAGGTCTCTACTGGTGTTTCTTCTGATACTTCTGCACCGTCTCCACCTTTAGTGGATCAGTCTACCATGTTCTCTAGTAGAGGCAGAGGCCGCGGTCGTGGTCGTGGTCGTGATTCTTTGAGAGGACGTGTCTCTTTTAGTGGGAGACAGGGTGATTCTGATAGGGGTTCACGTCAGTGTGGTCACTGTGGGAGGACTAATCATATTTCTGAGAAGTGCTGGGAGAAGTTTGGTCGTCCTCAATGGGCCCAAGTAGCCGATGCCGAGTCGACTCGCTCACCTATTTCTACTACTATTTCTAGTAATCCAGCTACTACTGTTCAGATTTCTCAGGCAGATTATGAGAGGTTACGCCAGCTAGAGCTCTCTCAGAACAGTCATTCGGCTACTCATGCATCCTCTTCAGGTATGGATGCTTACATAGCTTCTCCTCATGAACCATGAGTACTAGATTCTGGAGCCTCATCCCATATGACAGGTATAAAGGATCGTTTTGTCTCTTTACATCTTTCTGATAAGTTTTACTCTATTCGCATCGCTGATGGTACACTTTCTCCAGTTCTTGGTGCTGGAGTAGTTCATGCTACTTCCTCTTTGAAACTCACTGATGTGTTATATGCTCCTAAATTCACTGTTAGCTTATTATCCATTAGCAAGTTTACAAAGCACAATAACTGTAAAGTCACCTTCTTTCCTTCTTAAGCAAGTTTACAAAGCACAATAACTGTAAAGTCACCTTCTTTCCTTCTTATTGTGTTTTTCAGGACCTAACAACTGGGATGACGATTGGTTCGGGGCATGAGAGAGGAGGTATGTACTATTTGGACGACAGTGTGCCGGGTGCTAGTCTTGTTGCAGCACAGCCTGATTCTACCTTACTGTGGCACTAGCGTCTGGGTCATCCTTCACTACAGAAACTTAGATCAGTAGTTACTGTTCAGCCTTCACTTTCTTCTTTAGGTTGTGAGTCATGTGAACTGGGTAAGCACCATCGTGCTTCTTTTCAGAGTCGTGTCGATAAACGCAGTAGTTTTGCGTTTGAGTTAGTTCATTCTGATGTCTGGGGTCCTTGTCGTGTTCCCTCTGTGAAGGGTTTTCGATATTTCATTATTTTTGTTAATGATTTCTCTCGCATGACTTAGCTATATTTGTTGAAAGAGAGGTCTGAAGTCTCGCATGTTATTAAACTTTTTTATAATGAAATAAAAACCTAGTTCTCTACTTCTGTTCATATTCTTCATACTGATAATGCTTTGGAATATATGAAAAATGACGTTTCAAAATTTTATGCTCTTAATGGTATTATTCATCAAACTTCATGCTCTCACACTTCACAACAAAATGGAGTTGCTGAGAGGAAGCATAGACATATTCTCTCTCACACTTCACAACAAAATGGAGTTGCTGAGAGGAAGCATAGACATATTCTCGATGTTGCTAGAACAGTGATGATACATATGACTATTCCAAAGTACTTGTGGTCGGATGCTGTCCTCACTGCCTGTTATTTGATTAATCGCAAGCCTTCCTCTGTTCTTGATGGTTTGATACCATTCCACTGTCTTTATCCTGCTAAAAAATGTTTTTCTGTGATTCCTCGAGTTTTTGGTTGTACGTGTTTTGTTCAGGATTTGACTGCTGGTTTGGATAAATTGTCTCCTAGGTCCATTAAGTGTGTGTTTGTTGGATACTCACGTACTCAAAAAGGGTATAGGTGCTATCATCCGACCACCAGGAGATATTTTGTTTCTGCTGATGTTACCTTTTTTGAGTCTGTCCCATATTTTTCCTCTGGTTCCACTACCTCTGTCAGTCCACAGGTGCCACTACCTTCTACGGCTCCCACTACTATTCCGGTATCTGCTCCTGTGGCTACTGCACCAAAGCCTCTACTGACATACTCTCACCGTCCTAAAGTACATACACTTGTCTCTTCTCCTGTTGACTCTTCTTCTCCAGCTGCAGGTCCATCTCATGTCGAGCCTCATATCTCTTCTGACTTATATGTTCCTATTGCTCTTCGTAAAGGTAAACAGTCTTGCCAAAAATATCCTATCTCTCTTTTTGTCTCTTATGACCGTCTTACCTCATCATTTTGTCAGTTTGCTTTGTCATTGTCCACTATATCTTTACCCAGGTCACATGAGGAAGCTTTGTTAGTACCCGCCTGGAAACAGGCTATGGATGAGGAGATGAATGCACTGCTTTCTAGAGGGACTTGGGATTTGGTCTCTCTACCTGCTGGAGCGACTGTGGTTGGCTGCAGATGGGTGTATACCTTGAAATATCGTCCTGATGGGTCTGTTGATAGATATAAAGCTCGCCTGGTTGCTAAAGGATATACCCAGACATATGGTATTGACTATTTTAAAACCTTTTCTCCCGTTGCTCGTCTCAACTCCATCAGAATTCTTTTCTCTCTGGCTGTTAATATGGATTGGGCGATGCACCAACTAGATGTGAAGAATGCTTTCCTTTATGGTGATTTGGACGAGGAGGTTTATATGGAGCAACCTCCTGGGTATGTTGCTCAGGGGGAGAATCTTATCTGCAGGCTGAGAAAGGCCATCTATGGGTTAAAGCAGAGTCCTTGAGCTTGGTTTGATAAGTTCAGCAATGTTATTTCTAATGTTCGTTTTCAACGTTGTCAGTCTGATCACTCTGTCTTTCTTCGACGCACAACAACTGGTTTGGTTATTTTAGCCGTATATGTTGATGATATTCTGCTGACTGGGAGTGACTCTGTTGCCTTAGCTGAGACTAAGAAGTATCTAAACCGTCATTTTGTCACTAAGGACATGGGAAAGCCAAAGTATTTTTTTAGGATTGAAGTTGCATATAAAAAACATGGCCTGTTGTTGTCCCAAAGGAAGTATGTGCTAGATTTACTAGAAGAAGCAGGTCTCTTGGAATGCAAATCTGCAAGCACTCCAATGGAGGCAAATGTTGATTTGTGGCGTGATGATACCTCTCTATTAGATGATGCTGCACGATATAGAAGACTAATTGGGAAGCTAATATATTTGACAGTTACCAGACCTGATATTACTTTTGCAGTAGGTGTACTGAGCAGGTTTATGCACAAACCTAGAGAGGTTCATTGGAAAACAGCTCTGAAGATTTTGGCATATGTCAAAAGTTGTCCAAGCAAGAGATTGTTATATAAGAAGCATGAGCATACTCACATTTTGGCTTTCTCTGATGCTGGCTACGCAGGAGACATGGGAGACCGAAAGTCAACCTCAAGATTTTGTACTTTTGTTGGAGGTAATCTTGTGACTTGGAGAAGTAAGAAACAAGATGTAGTATCACGATCTAGTGCAGAGGCCGAATATAGAGCAATGGCTCACACTGCTTGTGAGATGGTGTGGCTAAGAAAGTTTATGACAGAGCTTGGTTTTGTTCAGTCTGGACCCATGCCAATGCATTGTGACAACCAGTCTGCCATTTATATTGCACAGAATCTTGTGTTTCATGAGAGGACAAAACATATTGAAGTTGACTGCAATTTTGTCAGAGATGCTTGGGAGAAGAAGATAATATCTCTCACATTCACTCCGTCCTCACAACAACTTGCTGATATTCTTACCAATGCTACTTCTTCAAAGGTGTTTTCTACTATATGTGACAAGCTGGGCATGGTGGATATTTATGCTCCAGCTTGAGGGGGAGTGTTAGATTAAGTCTATTGGGTATTTGGTTAATGGGCTGTGACCCGTTAACCATACCCCTATTTGTATGACTATATATATATCTCTCTCTAGTATCTGAATGAATTAATTAAGTTAGGGTTTTTGCTCTCTCAATTACCTCTTTCTACAGTATACATTTACCTCCCTACCGAAAGATAAGAAATGCCTTTTATTTTTCAAGTTTTAAGATACTATTTTTCCTTCGAGACGGCTAAAAATCAATCAGGCCCAGTATAACTTGACCTATTAGGTAACAATCCCGTCTTTTTGTTAAGTTCATTACGTACCTTCACACCTGCGTTTTCAACACTAAATGCACGCTCCACATACAAACCACTAGCGTACGTATTTGAGTATATAAAGGCAATGCCAATAATGAAATTGATGTAACGAGTGAGATCTATGTGTGATCTACGTAAGACATTCATATAGTTCATACGAGGCGTGTGTCACACATTATTGTTGATGAGCATATGAGCATATCATGAGAAATACATGACAAAAACTAGTTTACATGAATTCCAATCGATAATTTTGGTGTATTTATGTCCATACTTTTGGAATGGGAATAAATATTTATATCTATACTTTTGGAATGGGAATAAGTACATCTGTCACTGAAATGCCATGTCCCTAGTTAATAATAGAGATAGCTTATAGGATTCAGATAGTGCAACAAATTAAATGTAGCTTAAAAAGAGATAGCAGCTAAGAAAGACAGCTATATTGGCCGGAAACAACATTTCACAACATAACCTAGGGCTTTATTCAAAAGAGAGTATATCTGACGGATCCAAATTCTTCACATAGAATTCTCTCCAAAGGTGATCTAAAAGATCACCAAAGTACAAAAAAATTCATCTTTAAACTTTCGTGCATTAATCTTATGGGTGATAAATAAAGAAAGTTTTGCTTATCTACTCAAAAACTCAATAATTTCCTAAATAATTGTGACTGTTATAGTATATAGAAAGAGATGTTTGCACTGTATATATATATCAAAGGAAAGGTGCCTACCAGTATTTTGAAGAGCAAGTTCCTTGCGTTGGCTAAGGAACATTATGGACACCTACAAAAATAAATAAGTATAAAATAATTTTAAAAAAAGAAGGCCAATCGAAGCATACAGGCTTCTATAACACAGTAAAATCTTGACAAATCTAATGTACACAACTTGAGTCATACTTGTGATCTTTCCTAATTATATTTCTTCATCCTTGATTCACCTCTCCATTTAAGAATCAATTGAACCCTTAAAAAGAAGACAGTGAGAACTTCAACCTGCAGGTTTCATGTTCAAATATGTACTAAATCCACAAAACACATAATCATCACATCACCATATCGATCTTTTTTGTACTTGCATAGAATGTGAAATAACAAAAAAAATTAGAGCTAATACAGATAATGATAATTATATTACGTATCTTTTCTTGACTTGCATAGATTGTGAAACAATGGACAGTGGATGCAAAAATTAAGCTCAACCTGTTTTCTCATGGACCCTTTCGACTACCTTGGAGCATTATATACACTCCTTTCTCCTTCTAAACAATGATCATGACACATGAATTTGCATGACATTAGTAAAAAGAAATGAGTAATCCAAATTGTTAAAGTATAAAATTATAACCCTTAACCCACCACAACATCGGAGTTTGGTGCATCTATGAGGACTTTAAGACAAACAATGTATGCATGTAATTCTAAAGCTTCAATAAAATAGAGTTTTTAATCACATAATGCAAACTTGGAAATCTTTGCACTTTAATGATTGCAATATATATGAACAAGTCTTCTACCATACAAAGAAATTTAAAAAAAAAATTTAATTTTCTCCCACGTCTTCATTCATTTGAACAAGATTTTGTATGTCAACCCATATTGTATTAGAATTCCTCACCAACTTAGATTATTCTAGAACAACTTTCTAGAACTTCTTTCTAGTAACATCCTACAAAATATCTACCATGAAGTATCTAGGAAGATACAAGTGTATGGCTAGTATTTATTCTTCTAGAAACTTCTTAGTAATGTATGGCTAGGATTAACTCTTCTACACACTTCCTAGCCCTCTTAAACAACTATAAATAGGGGTCTTGTGCTCTCATTTGGGAATGCAAGCAAGCAAGCAAGCAAGAAGTGAGCTTGAGAGCTTGAGTGTGTAGTGTAGCCTTGTGTGAGTGTCCACCAAAATAAAGGAATTGTGTGAAAGTGAGGTGTTCTTGTAAGAACAAGTGTTGTATTCTCAAGTGTTCTATCAATAAAAGTTTCCTTTGTGTAGAGGGTTGTATTCTTCAAATTCCATCAAAGTGGTATCAGAGCAAAGTTCGATCTAGCCGGGCCAATCGAAGGTGCTCGTGTACGAGATGGCGAACATGATCCAGCCACAGATTCCGAAGCTGATGAAGACCAATTACGACAACTGGAGTATCCAGATGAAAGTCTTGCTCGGCTCGCAAGACTTGTGGGATCTCGTAGAGAATGGCTACACTGAACCGGAGTCACCTGCAGCAGAAGCAATTCTCACCGCCACTCAGAAGAGTGAGTTGAAGGAGGTCAGAAAAAGAGACAAAAAAGCTTTGTTCCTAATATTCCAAGGCGTAGATGAATCTGCGTTTGAGAAGATTTCCAATGCCCTGTCCTCTAAAGAAGCATGGGAGATTTTACAAAAATCCTATCAAGGTGCGGAAAGAGCCAAAAAGGTACGCCTCCAAGCATTAAGAGTTGAATTTGAAAATTTGAAGATGAAAGCTACAGAATCAATATCGGATTATTTTAGTAGAGTTCAGACAATAACAAATCAAATGAAGAGAAATGGAGAAGCAATTAATGATGTAAGAATTATGGAGAAGATACTTAGGACTTTAGACTCTAAATTCAAATATATTATTCCGGCAATACAAGAGTCTAAAGATCTTTCCGAAGTATCTATTGATGAGCTGCAAGGTTCTCTGCAAGCTTATGAACAAGATATAAACATTAGTTCAAATCAAGCGGAGAATCTAGAACAAGCCTTGCAGAGTAAGATGACTATCAAAGAAGATAGTCGAAGAGGACGTGGAGGCTACAGAGGCAGAGGCTCATTTCGAGGTGGCTCAAACTTCCAGCAAGGTCGTAGGAGACAGTACCAAGGAGGCCATGAAAATCAAGATCGAAATAGAGATCGTGAACGATCATTCGATCGAGGACGAGGTCGTGGCACACGAGGACGAGGACAAGGAAGAAGTTACCATGAGGACAGATCTCAGCCACAGTGTTACAAATGTAAGAGATACGGTCATCTCAGCTACGAATGTTGGGAGAAATCAAATCAAGTGGCAGAAAGAAGCAACTTTGTAGAAAGGGAGCAGGCAGACACTTCAACAGTCCTGTTGACGTACCAGGAGAGCGAAAGCAAGAATAAAGATATCTGGTATCTAGATTCAGGTGCCAGTAACCACATGTGCGGCATCAAGGAGTTCTTTACCGAGCTGAACGAGATGGTACAAGGAGATGTCACTTTTGGAGATCAGTCAAAGATTCCAGTAAAAGGCAAGGGAAATATAATGATCCAGACAAAGACGGGCGAGAACAGGTACATCTCTGATGTCTACTATGTTCCAGCATTACGAAATAATATTTTGAGCCTAGGCCAGCTCCTTGAAAGAGGCTATGATATACATCTAAAAGACCTTGCCCTCACTATTAAAAATAAAAATGAAGTTATTGCAAAGGTGAACATGTCTAGAAATAGACTGTTTACCTTAAATATTCATGCTGACCCTGTCAAGTGCTTGAAGTCAATCATAAAAGACGAGACTTGGCTCTGGCATCTACGATTCGGGCATCTCGCTTTCAGTGGCCTGAATCTTCTATGGAAGGAGAAAATGGTAAAAGGATTGCCGCAAATCAACCATCCGAACCAGCTATGTGAAGGCTGTATGAAGGGCAAACAACATAGAAGAAGTTTCGAAGTTGGAAAGTCAAGAAGAGCAACAGAGTTGCTACAATTGGTCCACACAGATATTGCAGGACCATTTGAAGTCATCTCTCTTGGAGGAAACAGGTATTTTCTCACATTTATTGATGATTATAGCAGAAAAACTTGGGTTTATTTCCTGAAGGAGAAATCCGAAGCTCTGGAGAAATTCAAAGAATTCAAGGAGATGGTAGAAAAGCAAAGTGGGTACCACATCAAAGTGCTCCGATCAGATCGAGGTGGAGAATACACTTCGAAGGCATTCAACAATTTCAACAAGCAGTACGGGATAATTCATCAACTCACTGCCGCCTACACACCACAGCAGAATGGCATAGCAGAGCGGAAGAATCGTACCATTCTTGATATGGTCAGAAGCATGTTGAAGAGCAAGTACCTGCCAAAGACTTACTGGGCTGAAGCCGTGGACTGTGCAGTTTACCTCCTCAACAGATGTCCGACAAAGAGCGTCAAGTTCAAGACACCATTGGAGATGTGGAGCAACATCAAGCCAAGTGTCAACCACCTGAAGGTGTTTGGGTGTATTGCATATGCACACATCCCGGAGCAGAAAAGAAAGAAGTTGGACGATCGAGGAGAAAAGTGCATATTCGTTGGGTACGAGAGGAGGACAAAAGCATACAAGCTCTACAATCCAGTTACAAAGAAGATGATCATTTCAAGAGACGTGGAGTTCGATGAAGAAGATTATTGGAAATGGACCGATGAAGATAAAAATATTAAAGGTATGTTCTTTGAAGATAATGATGATGACTTGCAGGAGGTTGGAAGACCAGAACAAAGTCCACCTAATAGTCCAGCTCCATCAACCCCAACATCAACGCCGACATCATCCAGCTCAAGTGAAGGAAGCTCTTCAGGGGGAGCAACAAGGAGGATGAGAAGCCTAAGAGATCTGTACGACGATACAGAGCCTGTCGAGATGATGGATGACTACACACTATTCTGCTTGTTTGCAGAATGTGATCCGGTCAGCTATGAAGAAGCTGCT